CCTTCTTGTTTTTAACGGGTATCTTTTTGACGGCCCCGCACACAGACGCCGCATGCACTGATATCAGGCCCCCAGGTTTGTCCCACGCCTGCACAGCCCTGAGGATGCCGCCCACACCGTCCCACAGTCCCACCCACAGAGGCGTCTCCGTCACGCCGGCTCCCTCACTCGCAGCACCAAGCAGCTTCAGGTGCCGAACCTGCACCCCTTCCTTCACAAGCAGCCTCACGCCACTCACTCACCCCCCCCATACCGTCAGGCTGGAGTGTCATATGCACCTGGTTCCCCCCCAGACCTCCACCCAAAGCCCCACACAAACAAACCAAGGGCACAGCCGTCACACCCCGACCGTGAGAGTTCCTACAACCTGAGACCATCTCACCTGCTGCTCGCACACAGACAGCATCGTAAGCAGCCACGCCACAGCGCCCGGGTCACACAGAATGTTCCTCATTCTCCTCCGACACGCTCAGCACCACACAATCGCTGTGCCCCACACACACACACACACACACACACACACACACGGAGCGTCCAAACCCCACCCGGGCCAGACACAGGCCCCCGGGCGGTGCAGAGTCTCTCCCGAGCAGGCCGGCGCGGGCACTGGGCACACTCAGCCTCACTCACTCCGCTCCTCTCCCGCACACAGGCATGTCACAGACGGTCTCCGGCATCCGTCCAGCCTGGCACGCAGCCGCACAGACTGGTGGTACCTGGTTCTCTCAGGCCCGCACCCACCCCTGAGACTCCCCGGGTCCCCTCGCACGCCTCCGGCGGCACCCACAGCCGCACGCTCCTTCCTCTATCGCTTCCTGTCCTCCGGCCTGGCAGGGAGCACAGGAAGCAATCAGCTCTCTAGGAAACCTCCAGCCGGGGCTGGGATCCCAGGGACAGGATTCCCGCCCGCAGCCTCCGGGGGACCCTCTGCCCTCCCTGTCCTCCCGGGGCACAGCCCCTCCTGCAGGCATGGCCGGGGGACAGGGTGGAGGTCACGTGCTGACCTCTGCTCCAGCTCAGACCGGGGAAGCTCCTGCCGGGCCTGGGGCTGCTCCCAGGTGCAAGGAGACCCGGGTCCTGAGGCCAGCCCTGGGGCTCCCCAGCTTCTGCGCCTCCCTGTGGGATGAAGGGGGGGTGACCTCCAAGCGCCTCCACAGAAAGCTGCAGTTTTTGGAGCCATCATGGCCCCCAGCTCCCGGCCTGGCGCTACCAGCACCCTCCACCCCTCCTCACTGAGCTGAAGCCTCTGTCCCCTCCTCTGCCCCCCTCCCCCCAGCCGGAAGACGGGCAGGGCTGATACCCTTAGGGCTGACACACTGAGCCCTCAGGGGCCGGGGCCACCACCCAAGCGGCCTCTGATGCCACTCATCCCATCCCACTGGCCAGACCCCATGGCCACTTTGGCGGGAAGCCCCCCCTCCATCTGGCTTCCCTGTCCCTCGACCCCTCTGCCTGCAGCTGCTGTGGCCATGCTGACCTGGCTCAGCTTCTCCTCAGCCACCCGGCTTGTCCTCGCCTTCTCCCCAAGACCACTGGGTCACCCCCTGACCTCTCCAGCCACAGGTTCCGTAACGGGAGGGGAGGGGAGGGAAGGCTGACCAGGAGACAGAGCCCGGGAGGGGCTCAGAGAAAAGGAAGTCATTACTCCAAGCAGGGAAACGGAGGCCCACCAAGATGACACCGCTGGCTCAAGTCCAGCTGGGACCAGGTATCTAATTCCTAGGCTTCCTCAGCTGAGATGTTTCATGCTAGTTTTAATATTTCCTCACCTGCAGGAAGGTACCAGGTTCTGAGGGTGAGGGCAGGCCCAGGGCAGGACACACACACACACACAGCTCGCTCCTGCCAATCACTGACCATCCTGCTCAGTGCTCCCAGCCCACATGCACTCTTAACATTAAATACTGTCCCCTCTCCAGGGGCAGGGGAAGGCCCAGGGGTCAGACTCCCATTGACCCCAGCCTCCCTCTGGGGGGGGGCATCCCTGGCCCACGAAGTCACCCTCAACACAACCCTATTTCCTAGAAGATTCATCTGCCCGTTGAGTGCGAGGGGGCCAGGGTTCCACGGAAACACGTCCTGGGCTGACACCGCTTGGAAAAGGAACTACAAATACCTGGAAGGGAGGAGGACAGAATTCTCCCAAATCTTGCATTTCCTCTATGCCCCAGGCCGCCCCCAGGGCTCTGGTCATGGCAGCCTCTCCGGGGTGGTGGTCCTCCACAGGACCAGGCCACAGCAGACAGGACAGGGCGCCCTGGCTGCCCAGCCCCCAGCCCTATCCCCTGATCTCCCGGCTACAAGTCCAGGCCTGAGCTGCTCCTGCCTCCACCTGGAGCGGGAAGGCACAGCCAGCCTCCCCTAGGCCCCAGCGCACTTGTCGGGAAGGGCTCTCCCAGCCCTGGCTCCGGGCCGCTCTCCTGGGACAGAGAGGAGGGGGCCTCCGGGACAGACCGGCGGTGCCGCCTTCCTCCCGGGCAGGAGTGAAGGGCACGGCAGACGCGGTGATGGCAGGACAAGCCGCCTCCAGCCCCGAAGCCCAGACCAGGGCTCTGAGGCGTGTGGCGAGGAGAAGGCCCCAAACCCGGCCACCCTCGGAGCGGGGCGCACGGCGCTCGGGGCAGGACCGGACCTCCCTGGACACAGGCAGAGCGCAGGCCCCTCGGCCCGGGGCGCAGCCCCGACGCCCACACCCCCCAGGGCGCCGCGGGCAGCGCGGGAGCCGGGAGCCGGCGCCGAGGCCTGTGCGGCGGGGCCGGGCGGGCTCCCGAGCGCGAGCCGAGTCCAAAGGGCGGCGGGGCCCCGGGATGGCGCCCTGGGTGCGAGCGCCTCGGTGGCAGCCCCCCAACCGTGCGGCCCCCGGGCCCTGTCCTGCCACCCGGAGCGGGCGCCGGGCAGCCGATGGCAGCGGCGCGGTCCCGGCTCCCGGCCTCCCGGCCAGCCCGTCCGGGCCGCGGCCGGCGGGGTGCGGTGGGCGGGGCTTCCCGGAGCGCCCCCCCCCCTTCCCTCTGAACTTCCCGGCACCCAGATCCGGGGCTCCGGCTCGGGCTGGACGGTGGTTCGGGGACCCAGCCTCCCCGGGTACCCCCGACCCAAGTCACGGGCGGCCGCCAGCCCGCCCCTCCCGCGGGCCTCCCGGGCGGCTTACCTGCTCGGACTGGCGGGGCTCCGGGCGCTGCGGGCCGCGGGCGGGGGCGCGGGGCGGGGGCGCGGGCAGGGTCGCGGGGAGGCTGCTGGGGGGCCGCCGGAATGTGCGGAATGAGCCGGACGCGAGCGGGAGGCGCCGGGCGCGGAGGAGGGAGCGAGCGGGACGGAAAGTTTGTGTTGAGGAGCCCGGCGGGGGGCGGGGGCTGCGGGGGGCGGGGCGGGCGGTGTGGGCGGGGCCGGGCCGGGCCGGGGGCGGGGCCGCCCGCCCAGGGGCTCCCGCCGCCGTCCACTCGGCTCCGCGGCCGCCACCGCAGCCGCCGCCTGCCCGGGCCGCGGGGTGCGCGCCCGGCCCCCCCGCCCCGCAGGCCCGCTCCCCGGCGTGCGGGCGTCGGCCGGGCGGGGTCGCGGGCGGCGCCCCGCTGGGGAGCGAGCGCCCGTCGGGGTCGGGGTCGGGGTCCGGGTGCCGCGTCCCGAGGCGCCCCGCGGAGCCGGCGCCCGGCCCGGGATCCCTCCCCCGCCCCGCCGCCCCGCCCCGCCGGACCCGGTCTGTCTGGTTCTCCCCCGAGCCTGCTTCTCCAATGTCTCCTCTCCCCTCTTCCTCCCTCCGCCCGGCTCCCGGGCCGCGGGGGGCGCCTGGCCGCGGCGGGCTCCGAGTTTGGGTGGGACGGCGCCGGGCCGGGCCGGGCCGGGCCGGGCGGGAGGGGCGGAGGGAGGCCCCCGCCCGCGGACCCCGCCCCGCGCCCTCCTCTCCCTGCACCACGCTCAGGCCGGCGGGACAGCTTTATTGGGGCGGTGCGTCCCTCTCCCCGCCACCTCCCGTCCCTCCCCTCCCGTCCCCCGCCCCAGCGCGGCCCCCGGGGCAGAGCCGCACTGGCTCCCGACCCCGACAGGAAGTGGTGACGGGCGCGGGCGGGCGGGGTGTGTGTGAGTGTGTGAGTGTGTCTGTGTGAGTGTGAGTGTGTGTGTGTGTCTGTGTGAGTGTGTGTATGTAAGTGTGTGTGTATGTGTCTGTGTGTGTGAGTGTGTCTGTGAGTGTGTGTGTGTATGTGTCTGTGTGTGTGAGTGTGTCTGTGAGTGTGTGTATGTAAGTGTGTGTGTGACTATGTGTGTGTATGTGTGTCTGTGTGTGTGTGTCTGTGTGTGAGTATGTGTGTGTCTGTGTGAGTGTGTGTGTCTGTGTGAGTGTGAGTGTGTCTGTGTGAGTGTGAGTGTGTGTGTGTGTGTCTGTGTAAATGTGTCTGCCAGTGTGTGTCTGTGAGTGTGAATGAGTGTGAGTGTGTGTGTATGTGTGTGTGTGAATGTGTGTCTGTGTGAGTGTGTGTGTGTGAGTGTGTATTGTAAGTGCGTGTGTGTCTGTGTGTGTCTGTGAGTGTGAATGAGTTGAGTGTGTGTGTGTGAGTGTGTGTGTGTCTGTGTGAGTGTGTCTGCCTGTGTATGTCTGTGAGTGTGAATGAGTGTGAATGTGTGTGAGTGTGTGTGTGTCTGTGTGAGTGTGAATGAATGTGAGTGTGAGTGTGTGTAGGTAAGTGTGTAAGTGTGTGTGTCTGTGTGAGTGTGTCTGTGTGAGTGTGAGTGTGTGTGTGAGAGTGAGTGTGTTAGTGTGTGGCGGTCCGGCTCGCCCTGCGACCAGATGTGCGGCTCCGGCTCCAGATGTTCCTCATCTGCCTCAGCCCCGCCGCCTGCGCGCCTCCCCCGCTGGGCCGGTGCCGGCGGAGAGGATGGAGGTCACCTGGAGACGGGGTCCGCTCCCGGCAAAGGAGCAGCGGGGCCTTTGGTGAGGGGACCCCGAAGCCCCCCCCCCCCCAGTCCTTGCCGGCGCCGGCGGTGGCTCTGGGACTTGGGGGGCCGCTGGGTCACTCGCAGGCCAGCTTCCCGTCGAAGCTGGAGAGGGCGATGGCGAAGGCCTGCAGGGCGCACAGCGGGTAGCGGTAGTCCAGGGTGAAGGCGTCCTCCGCCACGCGGCCGAACTGCAGCACGATGTAGTCCGCTGCGGACGCGAGGGCGTGGCTCGGACGGGCCCAAAGCCCTCCACAGCGGGAAGTTCCCTCCCTGCACGGGACCTCAGTACTCACCGCCTTCCCTACCCTCTTATCTCACCCCACCTGCCCCACCTGCAGCTTCCATGCCTCGGGCTGTCAGCCCCTGGGGACAGACTCTGCCTTATCTCCTGCCGCCCGGGGCTATGCAGGAACCTGTCAGACTTCCCCAAACCTAGATTCCTCCCTGGCCAACTTTCTGCGTTTTCTGACCCCATTTTCCTCCCTTCCTCCCCCCCACCCCACCCCAGTCCCATCTTAGAGCACCAGGCTCACTCCTTGACTAACCCCCTGGTTCCCTCTTCGCCCAGTGGCCTCTCTCAGCCCCCCACACCTCCCCCAGCATCCATAGGGACAGGAAGTTACTAAAAATATCCCCAACCTCACCAGACTAGGCTCCACCAGAAATGTGATCTGGAGAGCAGTATCCAAGGCCCGGGACAGGTGACACTGGGAGCCAGCTCATCTCTAGGATGGAGTGGGCGCTGGGAGCCCCAATCCCCTAAGAGGCACCTTAACATCCCCAACTTCCAGAACCGAGTGCATGCCTTGCCCCACGCTTGTGAGAGGGACTCTGACTTAATTTGTGTTGTGGGTGCATTTTGTGGCCCTAAATCTCCAAGGAAAGCCTTTCCCCTCCTTTGAGAGAAGACAGTAGAGCAGGCGCTCAGAAAGGCTTAAGAGTCCCTACCCTGCCGAAACCGGTGTGGCTCAGTGGATAGAGCATCAGCCTGCGGACTGAAGGGTCCCAGGTTCGATTCTGGTCAAGGGCATGTACCTTGGTTGTGGGCACGTCCCCAGTAGGGGGTGTGCAGGAGGCAGCAGATCGATGTTTCTAACTATCTCTCTCCCTTCCTCTCTGGAAAAAATCAATAAAATATATATATTTTTTTTTAAAAAGAGTCCCTACCCTAGAGGCCTAAAGGGGTTCCAATGCCAGGTGACCTGTTAGGAGCTGTAGATCTTGGGCAAGTTAACCCCTCTGTTCCTCGGTTTCCTCATCTGCCAAGCAGGGACAGCAATACCGAGCACCTTTCTCACAGGGTTGTTGAGAAGATCTAAGGATTCCATCTCTAAAACCCCGAGAACAGTGCCTGCCTCCTAGGAAAGCTCTGAGGAGCCTGGGTGAGGGCCGCCGCTCTGGGCCAGCACCCTCTGCCCTGGGCTGGGCTGCCAGGGGCTTTCAAACTCCAGCCGCTAAGCGCTCCCTCTGACACAGTCTGGCCCAGGATATCCCGGCGTCTGCCCCGCCTCTGGTAAGTGCTAGAACGAGGGCCTGGAAGAACGGGCCCAAGCACCTGCTGGGAATCCCCGAAGCTCCTGAGGGCACAGTGTCAGTGGCCCTGAAGAAAACGGCCACCTTCCCAGATGGCTCCAGGGAGAGAGAGATGGTGGGCAGAGGCCTGAGCCGGGGCCGGGCCTGGGGGCAGCGGGTACAGCCTGGCCTAGGCCCTGGTACTCACGGTCATCGGCGTGCACAATCTGGAAGTTCTTCACCGAGGCCTGCGTGACTCTGCCTTGGAAGTTGAGGGTGTAGGAGCCTGTGGCTTCATTCCAGAACGGAGGCTTGTTGTGCAGCTCAATGAGGCTCTCCAGAGTCTTGTTCTGCCAGCGCACCAGCAGCCCATCGCTGGCCTGGGGCCGGAGGTATTGGGAGAGGACGGTTAGGGGTGGGAATCTCAGGGCTGACAGGGGAAGGGGCCTGAGGACCTATGTGTGCCCTTGCACAGCCTGGAAATCAGCACCCATTTGGGGTATCCTTGAGAGCATGCTTGGCTTCTGGTGCCCCTGTGGGCAGGGTGTGCCCCTGTAGGAATGGGACTTTGCTGTGGGACGCCAACGTGGAGGGTGGGAAATGGAAAGTAGTCCAGCTGGTGTGGCTTAATGGTTGAGCGTTGACCTATGAACCAGGAGGCCACAGTTTGATTCCCAGTCAGGGCACAGGCCTGGGTTCGGGCTCGATACCCAGTGTGGGGCATGCAGCAGGCAGCCAATCAATGAATCTCTCTCATTGATGTTTCTCTCTCCTTCTCATTTCCTCTCTGAAATCAATAAAGATATTTTTTAAAAACATTAAAAAAAGGAAGAAAGCTGGCACTTGTTTGGCTCAGTGGATGGAGTGTCGCCTGCGGTCCCGGTAGGGGGTGCGCAAGAGGCAGCTGGTAGATGAATCTCTCTCATCGACGTTGCTCACTCTCTATCCCTCTCTCCTCCTCTCTGTGAAAATCAATAAAATATATTTTTTTTAAAAACTATGAAAAAAAAAAAGGAACGTAGCACCTGGCACACAGGAGCCCTGTGCCATCGGTATCCCAGGGCCCTTTCATGCTGGCACCGATCACAAGGATGACCAGACATTCCGGGACCTCCCCGGAGCGCACAGTGCGCGCGGGGAGATACACAGCGGCCACAATAAAACGTCCTGGAAGAGAGTTTCGGGAAGGGAGGCGTGGCCTCGGTATGGGTGCTCTTGAGATATTTCTTGACTGAGTTTCCTTGGCACCTGTCACGGTCATGGCTTGGAGTGAGTCTGCTCAAGATGGTGTTCTCCTGGCCTGTGGGCCCCGTTGGTTGGGTGTCGTCCCTGGCACTGAGGGCAAGGCGGGCTCTCCAGCTCAGTCCCCAGTGAAGAGCATGCAGGAGGCCGCTGGCTGACATGCCGCTCACATTAATGTGTCTGTCTCTCTCCTCTGTCTCAAAATCAATTTTTAAAAAATGTTCTCCAAGAAGCCTTCCTGACCCCACGTCTGATGCTGATGTTTTAGCTCTGAGCCTCCACACCTCGCTCCTTTCTCCCGCTGCGTGTAACGGTCAGAGTTAGACACTCCACGGCAGGCACAGTACCTGAGTCATAGCTCCGTGCCTCAGTCTCCCTCCGTTGTGAGGATTAATAAATTAGCAGCGCATGAGGAGCTATTTAAATCAGCTCCGAGACCAGAGCAAACGTTCAGCGAAGATCAGAGACTGTTTGGACAGTAACTGTTGTGTTGACTTTGGATCTCGGTGCCGGTTTTAACAAATGGTTGTGTAATGAATGACCTGAGGTGTGGAGAGAGACCCACAGCAGCACTGGCTGGCTCTCCCTGAGCCAGGAGACACTGCCCTGGAGGGTGTGTGTTCACTCCGGGCGTGGAGGGAGCACCCGTGGGACCCACAGGGGCCTCCAGACCAACCAGGCCCTCCCGTGGCCGGTGCCCCCTGGGCTGCTGGCCGGATCACTTGTGACTTTCCAGGAGAGAAGGATGTGTGACCAGCCGACAGGGATATTGTTTTTTCCGTGTAAATGAGTGAAGTGGCACCACTGTGAGTATGGGGCATGCCAGTCATCCTGCATTGTTTTTCAAAAATATTTTTTTAATTGGCCGAAACCGGTTTGGCTCAGTGGATAGAGCGTCGGTCTGCAGACTGAAAGGTCCCGGGTTCGATTCCAGTGAGGGGCATGTACGTTGTTTGCGGGCACATCCCCAGTAGGGGGTGTGCAAGAGGCAGCTGGTCGATGTTTCTCTCTCATCGACGTTTCTAGCTCTCTGTCTCTCTCCCTTCCTCTCTGTAAAAATCAATAAAATATATTTTAAAAAATATTTTTTAATTGATCTCAGAGAAGAAGGGAGAGATAGAAACATCAATGATGAGAATCATTGATTGGCTGCTTCCTGCACACCCCCTACTGGGGATCCAGTCTGAAACCTGGGCATATGCCCCTGGCTAGAATCGAACCCGGGACCTTTCATGCTGCAATGCCATCGCTCTATCCACTGAGGCAAACCAGCGAGGGCTCATCCTGCATCTTTAATCCCGCTGACCCACAGTGCTAAGGAGCAGGGCGAGAGACTGCCCCATGGAGGCCACCTTCCTGTAGGCATCTCTCCATCTTACCCTACACACACATCTTTCGCTTTTAAAATATAAGTTAAATCACGCCACTCCTCTGCTCAAAACCCTTCCCTGGCTTCCTGTTCCTCTCATAGGAAAACCAGTCAGACAGGCCGTGTCTGCCCCCCACTCTCACCTCTCACCTATCTCCCTCCGGCCACTGAGCCACCTGCGGCTCCTCAGGCTCCTCAGACCCACCAGGCCCTGCCCTGCCTGCGGGCCTGCACCGGCTCTTCCCTGGGCTGGAGGGTCTTCCTTCAGAGCCTGGGCCGCTCGCTCTCCTCCTCCCAGACTCTGCTCAAACGTCACCTCTCCCCGGGGCCCACTCTGACCACTGTACTTAATAGTGGACGACCCCCCCATTTCTCACTTCTCTAACGCCATTCGACTCTCCCCCCGCCCTTACCACTCCCTAACGTACCACCTTATCTACTTATTTCTCAGTTATCATCTGCAGCCTCGCCCCCTCCAAGGCCAGCTGCAGGAGGGCAGACCTGTGCTTGGCCCACTGATGTGTTCTGGGCGCCTCAATACCTGGCACTCAGTGTGTGCGCATCGAATGAACCTGTGACTGGCCGGTTTGGTGTAAACTTAGAGCACACACAGAGCGTTGTGTTTGTTTCAGTGAATTCAACGACAGAAGCCTCGAATTCATTCCCCGAGTTGCCGGAATAAACGGGCACTGGAGGGTGAAGTGTGCTGCAGAGGTGGGGTGCTGGGCGAGCTGACTCCCCGCTACGCCCCGCCCCAGCTCCCCAGTAGCGAGTCCCAGAGCGAGTGGGAGCTTCAGGGAGAGGGGCAGGGAGGGGCAGGGCTCACGTTTCGGGGCCGGATGGGGACCCTCTCGTTGTCTGAATTCATGCCCGGAATGATGACCGTCATGCGCCGCGGACCTCGGAAGCCCAGCACGTTGGTTTCCTGGGAGGGAGGAGCGCCTTAGGCCGGCCCTGCGGGGGGCGGAGCCAGGCACGCGAGGGGCGGGGCCTGCCGGAGGGGCGGGGCCTTCCGGGCTGGGCGGGGCGGCGGGAGGGACAGGTGAGACTCACATAAATCACAGCCGCCAGCTCCTGCCGGAGGCTCCCCACGTCGGCGCCCCCGCCGCGGTGCGGGTTCTGCCCGCTGTCAAAGACGGTGAAGCGGTTCCCCAGGAGGTTGGACCTGCAAGCAGGGCGGAGCTGGGCGGGGCTCAGGGGGTCCACGCCGCGACTCCAAGACCCTCCAGCCAAGCAGCGCGGAGAGCTACCAGATCACTAACGTGGAGGCGTCTTAGGACGAGCAAGTCATGTCCCTGCCCCAGCCTTCCAGCATGAAGTCTTAAAAAGATGGATCTAGCCGGAACCAACTTGGCTCAGTGGATAGAGCGTTGGTCTGCGGACTGAAAGGTCCCAGGTTCGATTCTGGTCAAGGGCATGTACATTGGTTGCAGGCACATTCCTGGTAGGGGGTGTGTAGGAGGCAACTGGTCGATGTCTCTCATCAATGTTTCTAGCTCTCTATCTCTCTTCTTTCCTCTCTGTAAAAAGTCAACTATATATATATATATATATATATTTTTTTTTTTAATTTTTTTTTTAAGGTGGATCTAGGGGACTGGGCAGCATTCAAATCTCAGTTCCATTTCTTACTAGCTGTGTAACCTTTGGCATGTTACTTAATTGATCTGAGCCTTAGCTTCCCCATCTGCAAAATGGGTATAAGAATAGCAAAATGGGCCGAAACGGGTTTGGCTCAATGGATAGAGCGTCGGCCTGCGGACTGAAGGGTTCCGGGTTCGATTCCGGTCAAGGGCACGTACCTTGGTTGCGGGCACATCCCCAGTGGGGGATGTGCAAGAGGCAGCTGGTCGATGTATCTCTCTCATCGACGTTTCTAACTCTCTATCCCTCTCAATTCCTCTCTGTGTAAAAATCAATAAAATATATTAAAAAAAAAAAAAAAAAAGAATAGCAAAATGGGCCCTAACCAGTTTGGCTCAGTGGATAGAGAGTGTCGGCCTGCAGACTGAAGGGTCCCAGGTGTGATTCTGGTCAAGAGCATGTACCTTGGTTGCAGGCACATCCACAGTGGGGTGTGTAAGAGGCAGCTGATGGATGTTTCTCATCTCTCTCTCATCGATGTTTCTAACTCTCTGTCCCTCTCCTTTTCTCTCTGTAAAAAATCAATAAAATATATATTTTTAAAAATAGCAAAATGGTAGGTAAGAGGATTCAATGGGTTAATATCCAGAACTTACTTCCATATATAAGTGTTTGTTAAATACATACATAAATAAGAGAAATAAGGCTTGACTCAGGGGTCCAGCCCCCACCGCTCAGATTTGTGGGTGGATTAGGTGAGATAGAGGGGAGACAGTGGAGGTGCACCCACTTGTTCATTCCTTCACTTAGTAAATACCTGCTGAGAAGCTATTCTGCCAGCTGTGGAGAACTCAGCGTGAACACAAGCCTGACCCTGAACCAGCCTCTGCCTGTGAAGGCCCTGAGCGGGCGACACCGCCCGGGGGGCTGTTAGAACTAGTCTCTCCCCTGCCCCCAACCATCTAACCAGAGCCCCGCGCTCTGCACAGGGCAGCAGAGGCCCTGGCCGCTGAGGTGAGGTGGGCCTGGGGGAGGGCTCGGGGGTCAGGGAAGGCCGCATGGCCTCTTGCTGCCCTGAGCCCCAGCCCACCTCAGCTTCCCCACAAAATTCTCCCCTCCTCGGGACAGATTGGTGGGGTCGCTGGACATGAGGTAGTTGGCCGTCTTGCTCCGTTTCCGCTTCCTGCCAGCCAAGAGGAACACCTGAGGGGACGGTGAGAGAGGGTGGGAGGGTGCAGGGAGAGCCTGGCACCCCGCCCCACATCGTGGCCCAGACCCTCCTCCGCCCGGTCCTGGCACCTCTCCGCCCTCTCCATCACCTCCGGGCCCCACCTTCCTCTCGGCGTCCAGGTGCAGGAAGTAGGAGGGGAACAGGCCGCGGTCCACGCCCCTCTTGTCCCGCGTCAGCCGGCAGCGCACGGTCCTGCCCTGCGGGGCCGGCCGCAGCACGAACTCCCGCGGCTCGCCCACCTCCACGGGCGGGGACGCGGCCCGCTCCTCGCTCTGGGGGTGCAGAGGGCGTCAGCCCCAGGCCGGCCCCCGCCCTCAGAGGGCCCGGGCCGGCCGGGGCAGCAGCCACTCACCGCTTTCTGTGGGGAGAGGACGGAGCGCTGGGGCGAGGCGGGGGGCTGGGAGGCTGGCGCCCCCCGCTGTTCCCTGAAGCTGGACTCAGAGCCCAGACCCCGAGCCAGAGCCGGTGCCACCCGACCCAGCCCCGTGTGAGGTGTGCCGAGTGCCTAACCCCGCTCTCCATGGAAGAAGTAGGCAGGCTGGGTGAGCCCCTGCTTAATGCATGTTTAGCAAACACTCATATAAAGTCTGCCAACGTGTTGGGTACAGTTCTCAGCACTTCTCAAACCCGCACTCATTTAATCCGTTATCACCGCCGGGAGGCAGCTGCTGTCCTGTCCCCCAGGGGGCCGCTGAGGGCAGGGAGATGAGGAGCCCTCTCGGCTCAGCCAGCAGAGGTGGAGCTGGGATTAACCTGCCAGGTCCCTGTTAGGCCCAGGAGGTGAATGGCGGTGAGGCTGCAGGTTCAGGATGCTGTGTTCTAAGCCAGCGATTTCTAACCGTGAGCCGCAGGAATCTTTAAAGCACACTGTACCTGGCTGCTTCGTCAGGGGCACTGACCTCCTTTCCCTTCCACTGTCAGGTTACAAAAATGACAACAGCCCTGGCTAGTTTGGCTCAGTGGACAGAGCATCGGCTTGCTGACTGAAGGGTCCCAGGTTCAATTCCTGTCAAGGGCACATGCCTGGGTTGTGGACTCGCTCCAACGTGCAGGAGGCAGCCAATCAATGATTTCCTCTCATCATTGATTTTCTCTCTCTCCCTTCCTCTGTGAAATCAATAAAAAAAAAATTTTTTTTTAAATGACAACAGCCAGCACAACAATGTCTGGTATGAATTCATCAAAATTATAGCTAACATTTTTGGTCAGATCTCAGTAAAAAAATGCATTTTTTTGGTGTGCCACAGAATTTTGGTAATTAGTTTTTGTGCCAGGAGAGGAAAAGGGTTGAAAATCGCTGTTCTAAGCACACAATGCAGAGGAAGTGTCAGCCACCGCTATGCTCAGGAGCACATAGTAAACGCTCAGTGTCCTGGCCAACCTCCGAGGTGGCCCCCAACAGTCCCTGCCTGGCACTGACCCCCGGGGTAGCCCTCCACACACACACACACACACACACACACACACACTGTATTGGGTTCTGGGGAAATTGCTGCCGCGTCATAGAACCCCCAGCAGCCTGAGAAGGCTCCAGCCAGCAGCCAGGACAGGGGGCCACTGCAGAGGGGGTCTTGCCTCTCCAGCCAAGCTTTCAGTGCCGCCCTGACAGCAACGGAGGCCCCTGAGCCCGAACTACCCGGCGTGGCTGTTCCCAGACTCTGCCTCCAGGAAGAAGCGGAGAAGAGGAGTGTTTGTTTTTAAGACACTGATCTTTAGGGCGGTTCGTTACACAGCAACACATGGTCAATGCAGTGAAGAGAGAAGCACAGGAAACAGGCACAGCTGGGTTGCACTGCCCCTCTGTTCTCACAAACCTGCTGCCCTTTGCCCTCAGGTCCTGTCCCTCATAAACGGGGAGTGGAGCCTCCAGCCCTCACCCCCTTCCCTCCGGCGGCGGAGAGAAGGGACGGGCAGGGAGGGTGCTGGAGAGCCGGGCGCTCCGAGCTGAGTGCTGTGGTTGGGCACTTTTGCTGAGGGCAGGTTTGCAGTGTGCCAGGCGGCCCGTGGCCTCCCCCTGCATTCGAGGGTGCTCCATTAGACACTTGTGAAACACAAGGGTATGTTTGGAATGCGACCCCGGAGAAAGCCATCGCTGATTGAAACGTTTCCATTGCTGCGAACTCCCAGGCCTGCACTGCAGGCTGCGCGGCCGCCAGTTCGGTTCCTCCCGGACAGAATAAACCGCCTTCAGTTCACACACCAGGATCCGGGGGTCCGGGCTGATGTGAACCAGCCTCACCACCTGACCAAGCCGGCCCTGCACCGAGGGGTCTTGGGTTTGATTCCCAGTCAAAGGCAGGTTCCTGGATCGCAGGTTTGATCCGCATCCAACTTGGGGCAAGTACAGGAGGCAACCAATCCCTGTGTCTCTCTCACATTGATGTTTCTCTTCGCCCTCCTACCCCCTCTCCTACTCTTCCTAAAGTATGAATGGAAGAATATCCTAGGGTGAGGATTAATAAACAATGAATGGACCGACCACACAGCAAGGAGCCGGGCCCTGCTGGCATGCTGACCTTAATATCGTCACTTTCTCTGTCCAGCGGGACCTTTCCGCCCTGCTCTCTTTAGTGTGTGCATGCTGGTGCCTGAGTCTGTGAGAGGACCTGTCTGCCAGGGGGATTCCCAGTCAGAATGGACTGGGAGGCCTGGGGGAGGGGCCTGGAGCCCCAGACCGGATCAGTTGCTGGAAGCTTGGGAGGTCCAGCTTGGGGGGCCCGGAGGGGTCAGGTGGGATATTTCAGCACCTCCCACGGCTGGCTCTGCCGCCATTGTGCCTGCCGCCACTGCCCCAGGCCAGGAAATGTGTGTCTGCCTGTGGGCGCTCTGGGGGCGGGGCAGGGGGGCAGTGGAAGGTGCTTAGAGACCAGAGGACACAAGGCCCCAGGTGCCCAGCCCCAACCTGGTGACCCCACAACTGCCTCTTCTGCTCTCACACGTCTGGTGCCCTCTGCCCACATGTCCCGGCACCAGAGGGGGAGCCCGATGCTGGGACGCCACGGCCCCAGCCACAAGGCCCACACTCATCCCGAAGCCGGGCCTGCCCCTGCTCCCTGCAGACTGAGCGCCTTCCCCTCCGCGACCCACCTTTTTGCCTTTTCCTTTCGCTTTGCCCTTCTGGTTGCTGTTCTTGGTCGCCACAGCCGCCGCGTCTCCCTCCTCCCCCTCTTCCTCCTTCCGCTCCTCCTCGGGGTCTTTGGGAGCACCTGGAACAGAGCGGCACCAGCCTCTTACCCTGGCGGAGCACTGTCAGTTTGTCTCACTCGGCCTTCCCACAATCACGAGAGTGTTACCCGGATTTCCATATCTTACTACCAGGGGCCGATGCACGAAAATTCGTGCAAGAGTAGGCCTTCCGCCGAAGCCGGTTTGGCTCAGTGGATAGAGCGTCGGCCTGTGGAGTGAAAGGTCCCGGGTTCAATTCCCGTCAAGGGCATGTACCTTGGTTTCTGGCCAATCCCCAGTGGGAGGTGTGCAGGAGGCAGCTAATGGAGGTTTCTCTCTCATCGATGTTTCTAACACTCTATCCCTTTCCCTCCCTCTCTGTAAAAAATTAATAAAATACATTTTTTTTTTTTTAAATTGAGGTCAAGATGCCCTGCCCCAAGTTTCTGACTCCAGAACCCGCTGTGCCGGCTCCGCGCCCCCAGGCGGGGCTCTCGGGTCTTGGCCCCAGAGCCGCGGCCACCCACCTCTCCTCCTCAGAGCCTTCCCGGCCGGGCCTTCCTCCGCCACCAGGAACAGGGCCTCCGGGGCCTTCCGCGCCCCCGCCGAGCTCGCCCCGGGCTCCGGGGGGGCCGTGCCGCCTGCCCCAGCCCCTGTGTGCGCACGGGAGGTCACACCCCGCCAGGCAGGCCCCAGCCCCCCTCCGGCCCGGGCCCACCTTTCCTCCTCGTCCTCCTCGGCCGGGCGCCTCCGCCCGCCGGCACCTTCTTCGCCCGCAGGGGCTTCGGTGGCGGCACGGGGCTGCCCGGGGCCCCTGGAAATGAAGGCGGGTGAGGCGGTGCCCGGAGGACCGTGCTGCCCCCTAACCCCAGCACAGGCGCGTGTAGATTCGGGCCCGGAGCCACCACGCATTTCTGTTGATTGATTTGTATTGTAACCACTTTGATGCTTTTATAACAATTATAATTATGATTTATATTGGGTTTTACAAAGAATTAAATGGAAGTCACAAAGAAAAGGCCCTTCCCTGCCCTCTCCCGCTCCAGGGCCCTGGGCGGGGGCGGGGGTGGGGGTGGGGGTGGGGGTGCGGGGTGGGGGTGCGGGGTGGGGGCTCTGCCCTGGGGCCTTCTTGGGAAGAGAGCGGGGCAGGGCTCAGGGGGCCCTGGGTGACTGCACCCCAGGCCTGTGGGGGGGGCGGGGGGGGCGGGGGGGGCTGCACCTGTGCTGGGCACCCTCCTGGCCCCCGGGGCCGCCGGAGCCTTCTCCTCCTCCTTAGGGGGCTTCCTGGGGGGCAGGGGGCCTCGCTCTTTCCCCTCCTCCTCCTCCTCCTCCTCCTCCTCCTCTGTGGGTAGGAACTCGGCGTGAGGGGCGGGCCTCCGGATTGTGGAGGGGCCTTCCCCTGGCACAGGCCGCAGGCAGGGGCCCCCGCAGCCTCAGAGAACGGGCGATGAGCCCCCGAGAGCGGGCTGCGGCGGGGTGCAGGCGGAGGTCCGTGCTGGGCCCCCCCTCCCCCCCCCGCCCCGGCAGCACCGGCCCCGCTGGAGTCTAAGGCACCCGCTCCTCTCTGTGCCTCAGTTTCCCCGCCCGAAAAGGCGGAGAACAAGAGAGTGAAGTCTTCTCCGCTCCAAGGCCGACGCAGAGGAGTGGAGCTGTTTTCCCAGCTTCCTGCGTCTCTGCCCGCGGCCCCCCCCCTGGCCCCCCCACCCCAACCCCTCCCTCTCTTCCCCTCCCCCTCCTCTCCACTCTCCCCGCCCCCGTGCTCCCCTCTCCCCCCGCCCCCCGCCCCCGCCCCCTCCTCTCCCCTCTCTCCTCCCCCCGCCCCCCGCCCCCTCCTCTCCCCGCTCCCCCGCCCCCTCCTCTCCCCGCCCCCCGCTTCCCCTGGAGCCTCTCACCCGCCCCGCGCGCTCGGGCCACCAGGAAGGCGTCTCGGGGGTCGCGCCGGGCCTCGGGGTCCCGCAGGAACTTGGCGAAGTCGGGCTGGGGGGGCGGCCTCCGCCTCCGCGCGGCTGAGCGAGGCGCGGTCAGGCGGCCGGACCTACCGCTTCCCCGCCCCCCCTCCTCTGAGGGCCCCGCACCGCTCTTCCCAGGGGCACTGGCTTGGGATGCGGGGGTCCCCCCTCCCCCTCCCCCCTCATCCTCCCCCCCCCCGCCCCCTTCCCGCTCACCCTGCCGGCCCCCGGGCTCGGCCCCCCGCCCGCCGCCCGGCCTCCGGGGCGCAGGGGGCTCGGGGGCCGCCGGCCTCTCCTTCAGCTTCGGGCCCCGGGCGAGTCGCTGGAGGGGGTTCAAGAGGAAGAAGGGGGGCTGTCACCCTCTAATCCCTGGGCCGCCAGAAATAGCCCGGATTATCCATCCGGAGGGAACCGCAGCCCCTCCTGGGGGTGGGCAAGGACGGCCCCCAATGCCCCAGCCCGACCCCCGGACACCCCAATGCCCCACCCGACCCCCCGGACACCCCAATGCCCCCAGCCCGACCCCCCGGACACCCCAATGCCCCAGCCCGAGCCCCGGACACCCCAATGCCCCACCCGAGCCCCCGGATACCCCAATGCCCCAGCCCGAGCCTCCGGACACCCCAATGCCCCAGCCCGACCCCCGGACACCCCAATGCCCCAGCCCGACCTCCGGACACCCCAATGCCCCAGCCCGACCCCCGGACACCCCAATGCCCCGCCCGACCCCCCGGACACCCCAATGCTCCAGCCCGACCCCCGGACACCCCAATGTCCCAGCCCGACCCCCGGACACCCCAATGTCCCAGCCTGAGCCCCGGACACCCCAATGTCCCCAGCCCGACCCCCCGGACACCCCAATGCCCCACCCGATCCCCCGGACACCCCAATGCCCCACCCGACCCCCCGGACACCCCAATGCCCCCAGCCCGACCCCCGGACACCTCAATGCCCCACCCGACCCCCCAGACACCCCTGCCCCAGCCCCTGTCCTCCAGTGCCCTCCAGGGAAGTATCCCCACCCCGTCTGCCTCTCAGACCCCCTCCCCCTCTGCCTCCCGCCCGGCGGGGACGTACCTGCGGGGGGCGCCGCCGCACCTCGGGGCTCCCGCTCTCCTGTCCGCTGGGGGGGAAGGAGTCAGCGCGCCTCCCCTCCCCGCCCTCCCCCCTCCGTCCTCCCTCTGGGACCGGGTCGGGACAGCAGGGGACCCGCACCTGTCCGAGGCCCACACCTCCCGGAGGGCTTCGTCCCGCAGCGGCATCGCCCCCGCCGCCCGCACCCTCTGCACCCTGCACCCCCCGCCGCCCGCACCCTCTGCACCCTGCACCCCCCGCCGCCCGCACCCTCTGCACCCTGCACCCTCCGCGGCTCTGAGCCGCTAATCCGCTCCCGCCGGCGGCGCTGAGGGAGGCCCCGCCCCCAGCACAGCGAGCTGCTCCCGCAGCGCCCCTGCCCCCGCGGGTCCAGGCTGACGGGAAGGAGCTGAACCCCTAGTCCCTCTCAGAACCCCAACAGCCGGAGGATGCCGTCACTGCGGAGTTACAGATTTGTAATGTGTCCGTGGTCAAAGGGGTGTGGGAAGAAACTATTAGCTCAAGCCCTGTATCTTTATTTTTCATAAACAACTAAGAACTAGGATTTACTGGTATGTAATACATAGGGAGTGACAGAAGTAGGTGTATGTACATACTTCATAGGGAAACATGCCTGACCTCACAGAAATACAAAGGATTGGGACAAAAAGACTACGAAGGACTTTATTCCAACAAACTGCACTGCCTGGGCGAAATGGACACATTCCTAGAAAAATACAACCTTCCAACACTCAGTCAGGAAGAATCAGAAAACCTGAACAGGCCAATAACTACTGATAATTACTGAAATGGAAGCAGTAATGAAAAGGCTCCCAGCAAACAAAAGTCCTGGTCCGGATGGCTTCACGGCGGAGTTTTACCAAATATTCACAGAAGAACTGACTCCTGTCCTCCTCAGACTGTTCCGAAAGATCCAAGAGGAAGGAACACTTCCAAGCTCTTTCTATGAGGCCAGCATGACCCTAATCCCAAAACCAGATAAAGACACTACAAAGAAACAGAACTACAGGCCAATATCCCTGATAAACATAGATGCTAAAATCCTCAACAGAACTTTAACAAATTGGATCCCACAATATATTAATAAGGTCATACACCATGATCAAGTGGGATTTATTCCAGGGATGCAATGCTGGTACAATATTCACAAATCAATTTACATCGCATAAACAGATTGCAAGACAAAAATCACATGATCATATTAATTGATGCAGGAAAAGCATTCAGCGAAATCCAACACCTTTAAAGAATATATAACTTTATTGATTTTAGAGAGGAAGAAAGAGGGAGATAGAGAGAGAGAAATGTCAATGATGAGAGGGAATCGTTGCATGGCGGCCTTTGTTTGAGTTTGCAACCAGAACCAAACGTGACCCCCTGGATCAAAGCCATTGCTCAAACACTGAGCCACCGAGGCCAGGCCAACACCCTTTTTTGATAAAACCTCTCAGCAAAGTGGGGATAGAGGAAGCATATCTCAACATAATAAAAAGCCTACAGCCAACATCATACTCAATGAGCAAAAGCTAAAACCATTTCCCCTGAGAACAGGAATAAGACAGGGATGCCCCCTTTCACCACTCTTGTTCAACATAGTACCTGACATCCCAGCCATAGCAATCAGATAAGAAGAAGAAATAAAAGGCATCCATATTGTAAAGGAGGAAGTAAAACTCTCACTATTTGCAGATTACATGATATTGTACATAAAAATCCCTAAGACTCCATAAAAAAAACTACTAGATTTACTACATGAATTCAGCAATGTAGCTGGATACCAAATTAACACCCAGAAATCTATAGCATTTTTATACACCAATAATGAACTCTTAGAAAGAAAAACTCAATTCCATTTACCATTGCAACAAAAAAAGTTAAGATACTTAGGAATAAACTTAACCAAGGAGGTAAAAGATGTGTGCTAAGAAAACTGCAGGTTGTTGAAAAAAGAGATAGTGGATGATATAAATAAGTGGAAGAATATACCATGTTCATGGATTGGTAGAATCAATATCATTAAAATGTCCATACTATAGATTCAATGCAATCCCTATTAAAATTCCAATGGCATATTTCACAGACCTAGAACAAACACTCCAAAAGATTTATATGGAACTAAAAAAGATCCTGAATAGCCACAGTAATCTTGAGAAAGAAGAACAAAGTTGGAGGAATCACAATACAGATATCAACTACTACAAAGCCATTGTACTCAAAACAGTCTGACATTGGTACAAGATCAGGCATATAGATAAATGGAACAGCACAGGAACACTAGGAATTAACCCAAGCCATTATGCTCAGTTAACCCAAGCCATTATGCTCAGTTAATATTTGACAAAGGAGGTAAGAGCGTACAATGGAGTCATGACAGTCTCTTAAATAAATGTTGTTAGACAGGTACCTGCAAAAAAATAAAAAAGAAACTGGACCACCAACTTACATTATACACAAGAATAAATTCAAAATGGATAAAAAATTTGAAAGACATGAAACCATAAAAATCTTAGGAGAAATCATAAGCAGCAAAATCTCAGACATTTCTCGTGGCAATATGTTTACGGATACATCTCCTAGGACCACGGTCGGCAAACTGTGGCTTGTGAGCCACATGCAGGCAGCTCTTTGGCCCCTTGAGTGTGGCTCTTCCACAAAATACCACGGCCTGGCCGAACCTGTTTTGAAGAAGTGGCGTTAGAAGAAGTTTAAGTTTAAAAAATTTGGCTCTCAAGAGAAATTTCAATCATTGTACTGTTGATATTTGGCTCTGTTGATTAATGAGTTTGCTGACCACTGGCCTAGGGTGAAGGAAACTAAGGAGAAAATAAACAAATGGGACTACATAAAAATAAAAAGCTTCTTCACAGCAGAAGAAACCATCAACAAAACAAAAAGGGAGCCAAAACTGGTTTGGCTCAGTGGATAGAGCGTCGGTCTGCCGACTGAAAGGTCCCAGGTTCGATTCTGGTCAAGGGCATGTACATTGGTTGCAGGCACATCCCCGGTGGGGGGTGTGCAGGAGGCAGCTGGTCGATGTTTCTCTCTCATCGATGTTTCTAGCTCTCTATCCCTCTCCCTTCCTCTCTGTAAAAAATCAATAAAATATATTTATAAATAAATAAATAAATAAATAACAAAACAAAAAGGAGCCCACTGTATGGGAGAACATATTTTGCAATGATATATCTGATAAAGGGTTAATACCCAAAATATATAAGAAACTCACACAACTTAACAGAAGGAGGACAGACAATCCGATGAAAAAAGGGCCCAGCTGGCGTGGCTCAGTGGTTGAGCATCAGTCTATGAACCAGGAGGTCAGGGTTCTATTTCCGGTCAGGGCTGTAGGCTCTATTCCCAGTGTGGGGTGTGTAGGAGGCAGCTGATCAGGGACTCTCTCGTCATCGAAAGATGAGTGGCAATTCCACAGGCCAGAAAAGGCGGGGCGGGGGGTGCTACCTGGGAAAAGAACAGGGAGGTAAGGGCTCGGAGGTTGGAAATAGCCAGATGTACGCAAAGGTCTGTCATCTCCGGCACGGCCACCCCGGACTGCCACTTGTGGCTGGCCGTCCCTGAGTGACATCTATGAACGGGTTTGACGGTGGCACCCACGTGGCGGGAGCGCTGTGCCGGCCGAAGGAGATGGCCGGTGGGACCCGGCACACCGTGAGCATCACACCTGCTCCTCCGTGCTCCTTCCAGAGCTGCCACCCCCTCTGCCTCCCGGCATTGCCGGCACAGCTCGGCACGAGGCTGGGGCCATTTTCTGAGGGAATTGATGAGTCTGTCTCTATTTCCAGCCTTTCTCACAGCGTCCAGTGAGACGGGGTCGAGGTTGCCTCCAGTTTGCAGGTGGAGAAACGGAATCTCGGGCAGGTGAGCTGACTTGCTCAGTGTCACCAGGTCCTAATGCTGCTTGAATCCGGATCTGTCCGCTGTCACAGCTTTGCCCCAACCCCCGTGTGTCTTATACTCCCGGCTTAGAGATGGGGACTGAACAGAAGGCTCAGGCTTGTTGTCTCTCTCCGCTTCCTCGGTCCACCGGGCCCAGATTTGCCACAAGTAATCTTTCTAAAAGGCTCCTGCCTCAGTGGACACCTTTGCTCCGAAACGTCCACTGCCTCCAACTGCCCACGGTTCCAGTTTAAATGTGCTGGGTGGACGTTCAAGGCTCCGCCTGCTCTGGCCTCCGCCTGCCATCTAACCCCAGGCTGTGCCAGACCTGCGGTGAGTGTGTGTGGTCAGGGGGTCAGTGAGGGCATTGGGGCGGCTCTGGAAGCCGGGCCTTAGGAAGACCGTGAGTCCACGTGAGGCTTAGTAAGCACTTCAGCAGCTTGGTTATGGTTGGAGTCGGGTTGGGTGAGGTTTGAGGCTGACGTTTATGTCAGGGTTGGATTTCCCGTCCAGAGCAGGGAGAGTGCGTGGCAGGCTTCCGTGTCCCTGGAGGGTCTGGCTTAGGAAGGGAAGGGAAGGGAAGGGAGGCTCTCGGAGAAGCCTGTGCTGGGCTTGGTGCTGGGTTTGGTGCTGGGCGCAGGGGCTGCAGGACCAGCACCTGGAAGTGTGGGGGTGTTTGGAATGGTCACGTGATCGGGCTGCTGGTGGCCCTCAGAGAGCGGAGCGCGGTCGCCCTGGTCCTGCCCCACAGGCGCCTCTCGGGGAGGCACGGAGGCAGAGTGTGTGAGGGCGGAGCTGACGGCATGAGGCTTAACTCCTGCTCTGTGGCTCTCTCCTCTGGTAACCGTAGCCTCAGTTTCTCCATCTATAAAATGGGGTGATGACAGTGACCTTGCAGGGCTGTGGAAAACGGATTAACCAAGTTTGCAGATGGCCCAGCACGGGGCCGGCCCACGGCTGCAGCTGGGAGAGGCGGGTCCCTCGGCCCTGGGGCCACACAGGGGCAAATATGGGGAAAGCTGGGGTCCCACCTGGCTAGTCTGGGGCCCTGGTGTCCAGCCACGCTGGGCATTAGACTTGCTTGGGGGTGGAGTGTGTTTTAAAAACTGCTGAGGCCAGTCTGACTTCCCAGCAATTCCGAGTCAGTGAGTAGGAAGTGGGGTGGGGCAGGAGTTTTAAAGGCTCCTTGGGGGGCGGAGCCTTCTCTGGGGCTTCAACTCTCTCTTTAAACTGCTCCTCTCAGTAGGCAGTGGTCCTCAAAGTGGGGCCCGGG